AAATTTCAAGTTCCTCTATATCTCTTTGACTCTGCCTCATGAGATCTGTTTCTTTCCTGTATTGCTCATTCTAGGAATCCATTGTTTTTCTAATCTCTATTTTTTTATCAGTGTCTTCTTGAGAAGCAGTTAATTCTTTTACTTTAGAGTTATTTCTGCTCTGATTTCCTATATATGTTTCCACCTTTGATTCTTTACTTCAGATGCTATTAATTCAGAGATTTCTTTTTTTAATTCAGAGATTAATTTTGATCTGAGTTCCTCTGTACCTTTCTGCTGTTGTTTCTTTTCTTCAGCCTCTATTAATTCATACATTTCAGCTCAGCTGCTGCCCTCTGCACCTGTTCTGGGTGGGCTCTAGGCCTGAAATTGCATTTTGTTCCTTCTCTTTGTTATTTCCTATAGTACTGACCTTGGTGTAGAGCTTTGGTGCAGTTATAACCCTAGCACTTACTGAAATTTGAGTGCAGATCTATTAAGTTTGAGTTTATCCAGTTGTGCCTGATTTGGGTCTAGCTGTTGTGCTGAGCTCCTTCATGATGCAATCCTAGGAAGTGAACTTGTTGGGCCCCTCAGTTATGCCCATGGCCCAGGGGGCCCTGGGGAGCTCAGAAGCTCTCCCACAAACTCCCTGTGCCTGGGCTTGGGCTGGATCTGGGGGGTCCCAAATGCACAGCAGTTCTCACTCACTGGGTGGGCTTGCATGGGGGCTCCTGAGGGGTCCCAAGGGTGCAGCAGAGTGTCTCACTCATGCGGCATTCCTGGGTTTAGGTGCGGAGAGTTCCTGCAGCTGCATGGGAGCTGGAAGCTCTCCCACCCTCTGCTCTTAGTAGAGTTCTGAAAGTGATGATTTATTCCTAACTTTAAAATACAGCAATTGTCATGGTAAGCATGAAGCAATGCCATGTGTTATTTTGCAGAATTGATAAACAAACACTAGTAAATGGAACATATGTACAGCTATTGCTGCAGCAACATTATTCATTCTCCCAAGGTATTCTGCTATATTCCTGCTTCAAACAGAGAACAATTTTAAACACATGTACCCCAAATTCTGCCTCCTCCAACTTCAGACAAGAAATACTATTGAACACAAAACATCAGATACACATCCACACAGTAAAAGTGTGTGACCTCATTACTCCATTATGACAAATGGGTGAACTTGGTAATAATTTAGCAAGGATACACAAATTGAACCACATCCTTGAACAAATGGATTTAATAGGTCTATACAGTGTTCCACCCTAAAACATGAGAATATACATTCTTCTCAGCAACACTTGGAGCTTTCTCAAAATAGAACAAATACCATCCCAAACTATAAAAATAGCTAAAATAATCTCACATATATTATTGGATCACAGAGAAGCAAAACTGGAAATCAATGGCAATATAAACCACAGAAATTTGAAGACACACAGAAATTCAGTAATAAGGTTTTATGGTTGGGCATGGTAGTGCAGGCCTGTAATCCCAGTCTGCAAGAAGCAGAGGTGGGAGGAATGCCAGGGGTTCAAGGCCATACTGGGCTACATGAGAGAGTTCAAGCACACACTACATAGCAAGACCAAAAATACATGTGGGCTGTGTTTGGAGGGCTCAATTATGAGGAGGTTCTGTTAAACAATGACTGATGTATCTGGGAATTATGGAAAACATTAGGTTTCGGGGTTTTTTTCTTCTTAATCTTCTTCAACTAATTTTGCTCAGCCTATTTCTTAACAAAATTAAAGAAAATGTATGAAAGATGAATTCTTTTCTTTTTTTCTTTTTTTTTTGGGGGGGGGGACCGGGGATTGAACTCAGGCCCTTATGCTTGCCAGGGAAGTGCCTATTCTACTGAGCCATCTTCCCTGCCCCTAAAGATGAATTCTTGAAAATTGTCCTTTTCTGTCCCCTAAGGTCACATCCACAGCCAGCAGATGACTAAGTTACTCCCCTTCACCTGAAGCTTTGAGGGTGACCAAGACATGTTCAGAGCGCTGAGCTTTTGAAGATGCCCAATAATCTCTGATGCTTCCTGAATGACAGACTGGTATAGTAGCAATCAACTTTCCAATATTTGAACTAATTGGCTCCAAGATGCCTTAAAAATATCTTAAATCTAGGTAAGAAATTTTTGTTTTGCTTTTTTCTTCCTAGACCAGAGTTGATGTGAGAAAATCAATTAGATATTCAATTAATGCAATTGGTGAGCATACAGAGCAACACCCAAAGAAAATAGGCTATGAGTGGGATGATAAACTCCTGAATAAAGGAGATTTCCCCAGATGAGCCTGTCTGGTCAGGACTTGGGGTGAGGGTCATGCAGCATTTAGCAGACAAGAAGCAGGACAGCGTACTTCTATAGATTTGGAGCAGAGGAGGCAGTGATAAATAATTTGCCAATTTTAGATTGTTTAAAAGATTTGGTGGGATATTCTTGAAACTTTAGTAAAGCAACAACAAAAATTATCAATTTCCTTGTTTTATTTTTGTGGTTACTTTTTCTACTACACTGCTATTCATTTAACTATAACTCCCACCCATTCTTTTGACCTTAATACTCTGCAGTATCCAGGCACTTCCATCTAGCCATTCATCTATAGTCTTCTATTCCATGCTAACATTTAAATTTTATTGCATATATAAAATTAAAATAAAAGAGGAAAGCACTGCAAAAATAGTATTCACTAGTTCATTTAAAATAAATGCAGGGGGTCTGGCCAGATAGCTTAGCGGACTAAAGCAACTGCTTAGGCAGGAGCAGGGACCGTGTTAGATCCCTGGTGTGCAGTGCCGGCCCCACTCCCGGGGTGCATTGAGACACCTAGGTGTGGTGGCACACACTTGTAGTCCCAGCACTTGGGAGGCTGGAAATAGAATCACTGTGAGTCTGATCTGTGTAGTGAGACCCTGTAGACCCTGTACTAAATGCATGAAAAGAATAATAGTAAAATAAAATAAATGCAGGGCCAGCGAGATAGCTCAGCAGACTAAATGCCTGCTTAGGAAAGCGCAAGGACCGAGATTCAATCCTTGGCACCACATGACACTCCAGCCCTGCCCCCTGGGTGTGCTGAGCTCGCCCCTGAGCCCAGGCATGGTGGTGTACATCTATAATCCCAGCACTGTGGAGGCTGAAAACAGGAGGATCACTAGTGTCACAGCTGTGTACTGAGACTCTGATAAATAAACAAAATTACTAAATTAAATGTCTGAAGCAGTTTCCAAAAAAGCACACAAAATTAAGATTTTATTCAGTAACAAGTTTTCTAAATTATTGAAAATTATAAAACTGAAAACCAATGGAAACTAACTAATTAACATTAATCAAAACAAGAAATAGTGCTGGGGAGATAGCTCAACAATGTAAGCATCTGCCTGGCAGGTGCGAGGACCCAGGTTTGATCTCCAGTACCACATGGTGCTGACCCCAGAACCCGGAATACATAGTGCTGACCCTGAAACTGGGTGTGGCGGCACATGCCTGTAATCTCATCACTGGCGAGGCTAAGACAGGATGACAAATATGAGTCTGAGCTGCATAGTAAGACCCTGTACCAAATAAATAAATAAACAAACAAATAAAAGACATAAAAAATTTAAAACCCATGAAATATTTTGATCATATATTGATTTTAAATTCTGAGCAATTTAGAAATATATGTACATGGCTTCATTTCTTTTTAAAAGTATATATTTGTACAAGGTTTCATTAGGTAGCTCAGACTCATAGTGGTCCTCCTGTTTTCAGCCTCCCCAGTGCTGGGATTACAGATGAGCACTACCATGCCTGTCTCGGTGGCCTGCTCAGCACCCCTGAGAGTGGGGTGGGTGGGGCATGTGGTGCCAGGAATCCAACCCTAGTCCCTACTCTTGCCTACACAGGTGCTCATTCTGCTGAGCTATCTCTTGGGCCCTATGGTTTTATTTCTTATGGGATATTCATATAATATGTAATGGCAAAAATATTGAATTCTCTCACTGAAAAGAGTGTAATATAACCAAGCTATGGTAATTTTTATAGTCAAACGCTGTATTAGCAGTGTAAAAAATGAAAATGTAAAATAAAAGAGAAAAGACAAAGTCATGATTCCAAGAGCACATGGATTAAAAAATCAGGAGATATTACAAACACAAGTACAGAACCAAGATATTATGTCAACTTAGACAGAATGATAATAATCTAATGAAACATTAATGATGAAAATGTGGAATAAAATAGAGTTTACATTATCAACAAATTCTAAATACCCAAAGATTCACAAGTAAAATCATAACATATGTATAACACTTATGAAATATGACATAGATAGACATACGTATATATAGATATATTTGTCTCCCATTAGTAAAGGATGATAAATAAGACAAATGAAAAGATTTAGACAAGACATGATGGAAGACTCATATTAATAACTCTCTAACTATACCCTCAATACTATAGAAAGACACTACCATTTTAAATTCAAAGCTATTTATTATAGTATATAACCAGATAAGACTAAAATTCTAAAAACAATATGAAATAGAACTCCTGGATAAATATCCTCAGGAATATTTAAAATCAAATGTAACAAAAGAAAGTACCACCATTATCAGCATTATGATCAGCTCATTAAAGTCGTGGTATGTCTCAAAGGGGAAAGAACACTAACAAAATGGTTTCAGAATTCAGAAACACAGATCTACTCATGAAAACTGCCATCTCTTTGAAGATACCAAACATTATTGAAAAAGCCAAAGTGATCACAAGAAAAAAGTAATAATAAAACAAAAAATGCATACATACTATGAGTGATTACAGATTTCATAGGAAAAATAAAAATCTAAAATAAAATCTAAAATGAAAAGGTGAGTATTATGTGGAAAAATATTTTAAAATGATAATACAGAAGATATAGTAAGTGATACAAGAAAGCTGCTAATGTTGGACCTCAACAATGTAGATTTGCCTGAGTCTCCCTACATATTTTATAGGAAATATGATTTTATTAAGAAGGTTTCCTTTTTACAAAATTATTTCTATTTCTGAATACATGTAGGGAGTTCTTATCTGACCTTAACAAAATGATGTAACACTTAGGGCCAAAGATGCAGCCCAGCAGCCCTGCACTGGAGGCCAAGATGGAGAAGACCTCCATGGCCACCATGGCCTTCCCCTTGCTGCTGTGGTACACGGGCAGGAAGGTGACCCACACGCTGCAGAACACCAGCATGCTGAACGTCAGGAACTTGGCTTCATTGAATGTGTCAGGCAGGTTTCTGGCCAGGAAAGCTAGGGTGAAGCTCACCAGGGCCAGGGAGCCCAGGTATCCCAGGACACAGTAGAAGGCAGTGAGGGAGCCCTTGTTGCACATGATGATGATGTGGCCATGTTCAGAGTGTGTATCTGTGTCAATGTAGGGTGGATTTGTCCCCATCCAGATGCCACAGAGAGTGAGTTGCATCAGGGAGCACATGGGGATGATGGAGTTTGGAGCCCCTGACATCAGCAACTGTCTCATCCTCCTTCCTGGAGCAGTGACCTTAAAGGCCAGCACCACAGTAATAGTTTTGGCCAAGACAGTGGAAACAGCCACAGTGAACACAAGTCCAAACGTGGTCTGCTGCAGGACGCAGGTGGCTGTGTTGGGCCGGCCAATGAAGAGCAAGGAGCAGAGGAAACAGCAGGTGAGGGAGATGAGCAGGGTGTAACTGAGAGCCCTGTTGTTGGCCTTGACAATGGGAGTGTCTCGGTGCTTCACAAAGAGCCCAAGAACCGCAGTTGTGAGGATAGTGAGAATCAGGGCTGTGATGGTCAGCATCTTCCCCAAAGGGTCTTCAAACGCCAGAAAAACCACAGATTTTTGGAGGCAGTGCATTCTCTCAATGCTGGCATACTGATAATCTGGACACTTCACACAATGCTCCATATCTAAGGAGAAATGCAAATTTTTGAAAGCTCTAATTTATTATTCCTCTTATTTAAAGACCAATCCCCAAAACTCACTGGACTTATTGAACAAATCTGTCTTTTCTGGTTTTTTTTCCTATCCTTTTTTTCCTTTTCTTTTCTTGCTGGCCCTATCCTCTGGGTGCACAGAGGTGGCCATTGAGATTGGGTGTGGTGGCACGCCTGTAATCCCAGCACTTGGGAGGTTGAAAACAGGAGGATGACTATGAGTCTGATCTACAGTGAGATCCTGTAGACACTGCAGACTCTGTACTAAATACATTAAAAAAACTAAAGTGGGAAGCTATGGCTGACCCCTTTCTTTCTTTCTTTCTTTCTTTCTTTCTTTCTTTCTTTCTTTCTTTCTTTCTTTCTTTCTTTCTTTCTTTCTCTGCCTGGAGAAGTGACCTTAAAGGCCAGCACCACAGTAATGGTTTTGGCCAAGATAGTGGAAACAGCCACAGTGAACACAAGTCCAAACGTGGTCTGCTGCAGGACGCAGGTGGCTGTGTTGGGATGGCCAATGAAGAGCAAGGAGCAGAGGAAACAGCAGGTGAGGGAGATGAGCCTTTTTTTCCTTCCTGAAAAGGCCAGGGAGAACTCCAGTCACAGAAAACTAATACCATCACCCAAATCCAGAAGTAAAGACCAGAAGTAAAGACTCACATCTAGGACAAGCCCACCTGCTAATTTGGCTAGAGTACACATTTCTGGGATCTGACTTTGACAGAGCACAGAACTGTATACACTAGAAGAAATTTACATTTTTATTTTTTACCTTTCTCTGTTTGATTGATTTTCCTCTTTGTATATAGATGGGTTGCTGCTTTGTTTTGTTATTGTTTTTCTAGTTCTGTTTTGTCCTGTTTTCCTTATCTTTCTATGTCAGTTGGTTGGTATTTTGTGTGCATGTGCTTACTTTTGTTTTCTGGTTTTGTCTTTTTGTTTCATGACTTAGATCTCTGACCTTTCTTTTGGTTTACTTCTATGAATCCTCTTCCTCCTTTCTCAAATACCTTGCTTGATTGTATGATACTTCATGTGAGTAAATATTGTCTCTTAGCCTTAAGGTTCACATCAATAGTCCCTGGCTTTGTCTTCTAATCCCTCCTTCTTGTGTTCTACAGTTACCAAAAATTTAGATGATCAACCTTTATCCTATAACTTTAGTCCTATTACATTTAACCTCATTTGCTTTTCTGTTTTACATCATATCCCTCTTCAGCAACCCCAACAAGGTAAATATTGGATTCTGTCATAAAGTGTAGAATTTGCTTTTAGAGTTAAAGGCATCAGGTTAATAGTTGTCACAGTTTGTCAGTAGACAGGTTGAACTTGAGTCTAATGTTATTACTAATTGTATCACTATAACTTGGGTGTCAAAACTCTTATACTCAGTTTTTCTCTGCTGCATGGCAACACTGCAAGTGCAAGGGATCAGATTCTTAGCTATAGTCCAGTACCAAAGGAATGGGCACTGAATCAAACAGATGGGAATGTCACACTCTTAATATGCTGGGAAGGCAGGTTCGTGGGATAAAGATAAAGGCCAAGGAACACCTACATGAAGAAGCCATCCTCAGGAACAGACATTTTCTAAGGAAACTGATACCAAGGACAAAGCTTATCTAACATAAGAAATCTGAAGGCATCAACATAGAAGATAAAATAAATAAAGAACAGGAAAAAAAATGATAAGACAAAGAAGCAAATGGAGCACTCAATACCCAGCCCACACAGTACATGTACACAGCACAAAGAGACAGAGGAAATAGTGAGGCAACCAATGCAACTGTTATGATTTGTGTCTATTTGTAGTACCAAAGCCTCATGTAAGTTATGGGGCAGATGCAGCTGGTGGAGCAACAAGTGGCTTGAGGGGTGGGGCCAGAGAACCAGGGCAGGGCCCAAGGGATGGGGCCAGAGAGGTGTGAACCATTAAACTGGCTAGCCTGTGCTTTCTGAGAGAGGTGGAGAGGCTCATCCTGGACACAGCAGTGCCCCAGCCTCTCCTCCAGTGTCTTGAAACCTCCAGTAACTGTGAGCTAAATAAACCTTTCCTTCCCTCATTTTGAATGTTGGGTATTTGTCCCAGGAATGAAAGAAGAGTAACTGAGACAGCAACTATCTTAAATGATGGCAATAGATGAGAAAGACCAAATAGAAGAGGCAAAAAAAAAATCTTTAATGCACAAAAAGAAATGATGACCAAAATGAGTGACACTAAAGTAGACACAGATTTAAAAATAAAGGATCTTGAGGAAACAATGGAAGCTATGAATGGTGAACATAAAAAAAAATGGAAGTGATGAAATGGATGCAAACAGAAATCCAAGAGATTAAAA